GCCTGCGCACAGGCCAGGCACAGCCCTCGCGCAGGACCGATCGAGGGAGTAGGACCTGACGGAGGAGCGGATTGACTGTTCGCGGGACGAAATTTCGGTGCGCGATGCGCAATCAAACCCCGCGCAGATACCCTCCGCTCGATCGCCTTCGGCGGCGGACGTCGGCGGCAGAGAGGATACGGTCGAGGACCGACAAGCGGGCGACAGGGATGCAGCACGGCCACATTCGCCCACCGCCTTGGACATTTTGGCGAAGAGCAGCGAGGCTGCAGCGGTGCCTTCGCAGGCAGCACACGTCGACGACGTGCAGCCCCACTCGGGTCAGTCGCCAACGCAATCAATGGCGACTGAAATCCTCAACCGTATCAATCCTACAGTCAGAGTGTGGTGAATTGAGAGCGCAGCGTGCGGAGGCCGAATCGCAGTTAGTGGTAATTGAAGAGGATCGCAGGCGAGAGGCAGATCGCACGAAGGAGGAGATGGCGAGGCGTGTCGCCCACTCTCTCAAGGGCTACGCCCAGTGGGAAGTGGCGGCGCAGGAGAAACTCACACTGCGTGAGTTTGAACTTCGCGTAGCAGGGTTGTTGGTAGGCGACAGCAGGAGTCGGCGGAAGGTAGCGAAGAAGCTAGACGCTTTTCTGTCGAAGACGCGGGATACCATGTCCACCCTCGAGGTGGAGGTGTCCGCGGCGTTGCAGCGGTTGGGACTGCGCAGTCGAGCGGAAGACTGGCAGGGTAGGGAGTTAGTGCGCGGCAGTCCGTCGCGCAGGAGACGTAGCACATGTTCCGCGGAGTGTAGTGTAGCGTGGTTCCGTGCCGGCGTGTAGCGTAGTGCAGTGTAGTGCTAGTTAGGATTTAGAAGGTATAAAATAGTTCAAGGCGTCTTGCCTTGGGTTCTTTCCCAAATTCAGAAGTGCAGATCAGGAACTCATTTTCTCTGCGTCTCTGTGTCCTTAGTTCTGTCACCACGCACGAGGAGCTACACCTTAGCGTTCCGCATTGTGTAGCTGAAGGCCTTCGGCCGAATGTTCAGAGCTAGTACATTGGTTAGAGACTTGAGTAGTTCGGATCTACACCTGCGGGTGATTGTTGATGCTCAGAGCCAGTGACTAGTTAGATACTTGAATAGTTTCGCCCCTACACCTTCGAGTGTTTGTTTCTGGTTGTACTCCTTCGGGATTTTTCCCCTGAATGCCAAAGTGAAGTTTTGCTACTTCGTGCAAGCCTTGGTTGTAAATTCAGGTTACGCTGCCGCAGGTGCCTTTGAGGTAACCCCTGTAGTATTTTTGGGAATGACAAGTGCCTGAGAATTCAAACTCTTCAATAGACTGTTGTTGTGTTACTGGAATGTTTTTCAGTGAGTTCTTCAGTGCGGACCTGTGTTCTCTGCGCGTTTGTGAGTTGAGAGTGTTGTTCACCGCGTATGAGTGACTTTGATCCGAAGTAGGCAGTCCAAACCGGGTTTCCTACACTAGCAGCAAGCTAGTGGAAGTGTTGTAAAAGCCGGAGTTGGGAGTCACTACCCGCAGCTTCGCTGAGTGTACTCTTGAGAGACTTTCCCCCTGAAATCTTGAGTAGAGGTCCTAACGGATCTCTGGGTTGTGTTTCTGTAGTTTCAGGTGTGTGTGTGTGTGTGTGTTACGCTGCACTGTGCGACCTCCGAGTGCGCTCCGAGTGGACACTTGCAGTATTTCTGGGAGTGACAGTCGCCTGAGAATTCAAACTCCTCAATAGTTTGTTAAACGTGACACTTTGTACCCTGTGTGTTCCTCTGTCCCTGTGGGTTCGACCTTTCTACCACTATATTGCAGTTTTAGCCTTTAGTGGGTTATTACAGATGTCATGTACAATCCGGTGTAGTTTTTTGAGAAGTTACGTAAGATACAAACTGAGTGTTATGGGTATGAGTTAAGTGTTTGGTATCATGTATCTGTGGACTAAAGTGGTCCAAAAATTACAGGAATTGGAAGCGGCAGTCTATGATTTCAGTAATATGCATAAAAATATAGTTTTATTAAGAAAATTCTTTATTCTTATATTGAATATATTAATAAAATATATGCTTGCTTTGCTTCACCACTTCCATTGGCAAAAGATGACTTACTTTCTTCCCACCCAAAGCTTGACATGAAATCGCACTTCGACGATACTAACCAATCCTATTTCAGACCCATGTGAACTTAACAAATCGAAGTTACGGTTGTAAACTTTCAAGTGATGGATGCTATTGATTTAATGAAAAAACTATATATTCTCAAAATTTGGTCTGCACATCTTCACAATCATGAAACTTTGAAGTTGGGACAAGACTTTCATGAGCAATATGAATCGACCTTCATTCTGAAGCAAAGGATTGAAATTTGTGAGGAATTGTTGGTGGTAAAGTTTAGGTTAGAGAGCTTTGGCATGGGGAAGATACTTCTAAACTGGGAGAAGCCAGAGGCATGAAAAGAATAGATTTTTTGCGCAGTCGACAGTTGCAGATAAATCCACCTGCTAATGATGTTGGAGGTGGATGAAATACCTTAGATACACTATTAGGTGTTCACTTGCATCTCAGGAATTATTTATTTGAGTTTCCTGTCAACCTCAGAAGTTGATGTGCATATGGTATACTAATGACATCTACATATACTGTAATGCTCTCATTATATGCTATAAAATGTTGGTTGGCATTGCACATTGGGTTTAGGAACAAAAGTTATCGAATTCACAAATACATTGGATAAATAACAAGGTGGCGGCGATGGCATTTATTTGAGAATCAAAGGTAGACATAGTAGTGGTAATACAGTTGGAAATCATATATGAAATATTTTGTGGTTGTTCAGGTTGTGATTGTTTCTAAGATTTTTGAGGTTAGTAAACATAAAATCAATAAGCTGAAGAAATACCATTCATTATTTGAGGTTTTAAGTAATATCTTAGGTATTCAAACTTATATAGATTGCCACTTACTTCCATCAAAGCTAGACATGACCTCATTTAAATGTTGAGTGTAAGCTTGAGGTTTTTGACGGTGAGTGAAGAGTCGCTTTTCACAGTGTAAAGATATCATATTAATTATAGAGATAAAGGTAAGTATCACGCAGGTAGCGTGAGAGAAAATAGGTAATCACTAACGTGAAGGAGACGATGATATATGGAAATAAGAGGATTTTTCACATTACATGTAGAGAATGACTACTATATTACGTATCTTTAGGATAAATTCTTCTCGATAATGATTTTGAATTTTTTGAGTTAGAGCATTTTTTTTACAGTGAAGAGTGCTGTATCAAAGGATGAGTTGAGTTCTTTTACCAAGCGCAATATCTAATATGGGACTCGGCAACAAATCTCGAATTTCCGAGCTGATTTCGATCTCCTAAACGACGACATGATTCATTCATCACAGGGGCACAGAAAAATCTACCAACCTCGACGCACAAAGCTTCGGATCCCACTGATAAAGACGTGCGCGTATCACATTTCCTATCGTCAATCATGATTCTCCTCACACGAAAAATCTCGGAGACGCGACTGTGCCCAGATACTGAAAACACCAATTATCTCATCATTAAAGCTTTGAACACCGCTCACTGTTTCCCAATGCGCGGGGTGTAATAGTTTTGGTGCATCATGTCTGCGAGGGAATTAAAACCTTCAATTCTTGCTGTCAAGTGACTGCATGACCATGAGAACTATGTGAAGTCTTTTCGCTGTACAATAAATTCTTGCATGTTTGACTCCTTCACAAAACATAAAATAAGGGATCTTAGATATGATAAATGATGCTCTGTCAACCAGAGTGAGCATCCCTATGGTCAAAGGATTGCCAAAATTCTTAGTACAGAGATTGTCTGAATATCAATAAGGCCGACACCATGCATGTCTAAAACAAATAGTAATCAAAGTATATCACTAGGGTCAGAAATATTACTCAACCGTCTTATATTCACATTCTTTGAACCACAGTTAGTGACAGTTGTTACCTGAGCATGAAACCACATCTCAAAGATCTTTCCATCTGTACCTGGGTTAGGTAGATATTGAGGTTCAAGTTGTATTTAACTACCCGAACCGGTGGGCCAGACAAGAGAGTTTGAAAGTGCTTCTGTCTCAGATGAAACGAGCATAATATTGCCATATGAAAATTTCTTAGAAAATTAAAAGTATCAGTCCATCGATAGTGGCAAAAACCGGGATGAAAAGCTGAGATTTGTAAAGAGGGAAAAAATGAGTAGTAAATTTAGATTTTCCGTTCCTAGTTGTCCATCTTGGTGACTATTTTAGTAACTCCTGACGCTGCATCATTACATTGAATCAGATGAGTGGTCAAAATGATCATATGTGTCGGAAAGGTCTACTGGAGTTTTTTGAACGAGTCAGTCAATCTCAGATGATCTCCGAGACACCATGATCACTAATATATTCTCAGCCCATTTTCCTATAGCAAAGATGCCTCAAAGCAGGTCAAATTACACCTATTAGGAGACAAGATAATGCGCAAAAAATAAACTAAAGTTTATAATATCCAGTGACATGTTTCTGAGCTCAATCGGAGATTCGGTATTATAGAAAGTTAATTCTCAGCAAATTTACTATGTGATGCACAGACTAGAGATGTGCAGCTTCGAAGTTTTATGACCATAGTCTTAGAATATACGTGGAGCATATCGATCTTCAAAATCTTCAAAAGTAGTATGAATATGAAACTGCAGCAATGACAATTGTGAATGCTTGTTCCAGGAAAGATGATCATTACCTTTTACTTCCGATACTATATACGTCGTGAATTAGCTTACAGTTCCCATCACATTAGTTTGTCAGGGCTGCTTTTCCTGTGGAGCTCATAACATAGATCCAAAATCGGCAGCACCAGTAAGATTTTCGATTTGCTTGTACGTGCAACTGCTCATGAAATATGGAGTTAACAGCAGGTAAGAGAGAAGGCGAACCACCGCAGACAGGAATGCAAGCACATACTTCCCATATCCAGTCGCCACTATTATCCATGTACGAAATAAGTGATCATCGCCCTCGTGAAGAGCTTTTATAGTATATAGAGGAGAAGGTACAATTATGAAGAGACGAGTATAATTATCGTCCCAATTCGTTCTAGAAAGGTCTGATAGTGTCTCAAAACACTTCAAGTTCTTTGATTCGTGTCCACCAGGAATCACCCGACCTATTTTTCAGATTGGGACTCTGCAATTTACATAGGAGATATGAATGTTAGATCCTTTCCCTAGTAATTGTAAAAATCACTATTCTGCTTGCGAAATCATTTCACTAAGGTAGGAACACATGAACTTCATCTAGAAAGAATGATACGTGAAATGTGTTCCAGGAAATCCCACACATGTTATGAAACGAAATCTGAATATGACATACTGTGGAGATATATATCGGGATGAGAGCTTTCAGACTTACACTGAAGTAGGTATCCCTTGACCACATTGTTGACGAGAACTGCAACCGTGCCCACCGCTGTCTCGACGATCTGAACCGTACCATTCAAGGGCACCACAACGTTAACGGTGCGCAAGACCCCATCGATCACAGCGGAGATCTTCCAGGTCAGGCCGAGCAGACCGGCGACGAGGCCCGTTATGGTGTACAGCACGGACTGGACGGTGTGGGCAACCACGGTGATGACACCAAGTGACCCGAGCTGGAGACCCGGTATGAGCACGATGTTCACATTGACGTCAAAATCGCAGTCATTTTTAAGGCTGGAGGAGTAGGATGCAGCTGCGGCAAAGGTGGCTGCAGCAAGCACCGAGGCCACGATAGCAATGAAGTGAGCGGTCTTCATTCTGATTGAAGAGATGGAAGTGGTGGACAGGCACTGTGAGTGAACACGAGGCTGCTGAAGTGCTGCAAGCTGAAACTTAATCGAGTCGAGTGAGAGTGTGATTGTTTCTGAATAGGAGGTGGTTTATATAGGCCCCGGGTGCTTCTATTCGAGGTGAGGTCATTCTATCTCCCACAAACTTCAAAGACTTAAATATTTTTTTACCCGAGTAGAGCTATTGAAACTTAGATGTCATGGTAATCGTGTAGAGACAAGCTACGCTATGAAACCTCAGGAGCAATTTGGCACATAAACACAAGTTACAGTCACCACGTCATCACAACCTTTTCCACAAGACGTTGAACATTCATAGACTATTCCAGATAACATGCATCTAATGTCCGCATACATAGTCATACATATCAGTGATGGTTGGAGTAAGCTCACTGCTCGATGTAAAATGAACCAGTCCTGGGATTTATACGCTAAGTAGTAGAAGTCTACTTTTCACTTGCACAAGAAAGGAATGTGGCAAGATTTTCTAAGGCAAAGCCAGCAGTGGTTTCAGGCACGTTTTGGTTTTTTCTGTCGAAACAGTTGAGACACAGGAATTTCGGGAGAAGCTTCTTTTGTATCATCAAGTCAATAAAGCGTCATGGAATTGCTGTTGTATATCGTACGTTCAAGGTCCAGGTCCAAAGGTCAGCGAGGATTACGTAAAATCTCTGGATCAATGGATTCCGTCGTATTTCCAAGTCAGAGACAGTCCATTGCATAGATCATCTCAATTTTCTGAGATCAGCTGAAGAATATTCTTTTCTGCTGGCAAGATACTGATCTGAAACTGTTTCTTGTTAATCGTATCTAAGTGAAATGAGGCTTGAAATCAGAATTCATATGTACAGGAAGTGACAAGAGATGAATCAAGGCAGAAAAATACGTGTGGTCTTGACGGGTTTTGAAGTCAAAGAAGTTGGTGATGAACTCCTCCAGAAGGTTACTTCCTGTCACACAAAGTTTCTAACTGTCCTCTAGTTCATTTTTCCAACTATAGGTTGAAACTACTCACTTAATGACCTCTGTAAGGCTCTGTATCCAAAGGCCCCAATTTTCATGAGCAGATGATTAAAAAATTTATCTCCATCAAATGAGGCAAACCCGTCCAAACAACGATTGCAGTAATTCGTGGTTAATACTTATGACATCAGACGTGATGCAGAGCAGGAGAACCAAGCATGGATAGATAAGAAACAACTCTAAAAAGTGCTGTGCATCTCATTGATGACATAAATGTATTGATTCGATTATCTGGCAGAAGAATATTCTCTCGATCTACAAGTTGCCTCGATGATAAGAACGTGGCAGTGTAGTTACGCCTGTGGCGACAAGTGCAACAAAATGCAGAAATGGACGGCTTGGAACCGATAAGCCACTTGCTGCGTGAGAACCAGTTGACCGTGCTTGCAAAACAATCATGTCAATTGCATGATAGAGAGATGCCTAAATTCTTGTCCGACTATTTCTATGGGTTTGATCTCATTGGCTCCAGACATCTGCACCTGCATTTCCTCGGTTGATAAAGTTTCAGATTTCAGACAAGTACACTCCTCTTTGCGACGTCACATGAACATCTGAAGGTAAGTCATTCATAATGTTTGAGTCTAGCTGTTCGAATGAGGCCGCAATCCAGCGAAAGAGAAGGGTAAATGCCATACATATTCATGAAATAATGTGTCCACGACGAGCGACTGTATACTCATCAACATGTATCTATTTCTCCCGTTAGCAGATCGATAAAGTGCTCATGTAGGTATCAAAAGAAGTAGCTTTCCCGATGTTCTTCCCTGTTCAAGTTGATAGAGAATATCTCTGCACTTAGACTTCGAGGTCGCACCTTTTCTTTCGCGAGGTTACATTTTCATCAAAGTCAATCATTACATTCAGTAGCCACCAGACTTGCGTCAGACACAAATCTATGCACCGATCTAAGAACACAACGCTTGCACGATGGAGCGTCACTCCTATTTTCAGAGATTGAAAAACGAGACAAACTGCTGTGCTTTTCCGTGACAAGCGGACGCAGGTCTTGATTGGACTTGACTTACTTGCTGGACTGCTTTCATTGAATAGAAACAAAACCGCCCCTGTAAAGACCCCTGTGAAAGTATGCTCACCAGAAGGAGAAAATCTCACGTGACCTCAGGAAGGACGCAGGACACGCGGCCGAGCTGTTTCCATCTCTATCTGGCAAGCAACTAACTTAATGTCAACGACCTACTGATGGAGGTCTACTGAAGCATACACAGTCATGAGATCTGATAACCTCATACTGATATCTGAAATGAGCTTTGTCAATATGAGAAGACAGAGCTCTCTGTTTTGTCGATTTCAGTAGTAAAGAAAGATCGTTCTTCCACATCAGTGTTAAATTGATGATTGCCAGTAAAAGACTCAAAATAGTGCTGCAATAAGAAAACTTTACTTGCACTGTAATCTAAACAACAAGCACTAGAAAGATAAGGCATGAGGTCATGTATTATTGTCCTCTATACTCCGTTCAATTCACCTCGTGTTGTCTAACCTGAGTTCTGATTTTAACCGAACTTACAAAAAAATGTGTTTTAAAAGAAGCTAATTTGAAGGCTTAAGGCTATCGTAACGTCTGTTGTTGCAAGCCAATTCGTCAGAGATTCAGGTTACTCTCCAACTTGTAAGAATGATTGATGAATAAACTGTAATTTGACATGAATGTAGACATTGTTTCAATTAGGGGCGGCTGGTGTTATTACCGCGGATTCCCGCACCGTAACATCCTTGCTTTACACAATTGACGACTTGTTTTGTTCTCTGCTCGGTCCGACGTGGAAGATTTGGGGGTATTGTGCACTGTTGACGTGGCGGTGTCCTCGAACAGTTGGCCGCGGATAGTCCAAATAGTGATTGGGAAAGTTGCAGTTATGGTCTACGATAATGTGGTCAACGAATACATGTGCACTGAGCAATAAGGACGAAAACGCATCACGTCTTTCCGGAATGAAGCCAAATATGTATTATGGGGCTAGCCACCAAATTATTGACCTCCTTCAGTAACTCATCATAAGATCTTTCAACAACGCTGAATCTATCCCATGCACGTGGTAAAAGTGTTCTTGAGCATGATGAATGCGAGCTCAAACGACAAAGTCAAGTATTGCCTGCTCATGCTCGCATGACAATACTACTTATGTGCATGCTTTTCGCTGTACGATCGCTGTACGATGGATTTTTGCATGTTTAACTACTTCACAGAGCATAATATAGACAATCTTTGATAGAGAAAATGCAAAGTCGAGTAGACTGAGTATGCTTCTGGTCCTAGGATCTTTAAAGTGATAAGTATAGAGAATGTTTCAGTACTGCTATGTCCGACACCACTCATGCCCAAATGAATAGTATTGAAAGTCTGAAGTATTTTTTGTCCACCCTTTGGGTATCAGGATTCACAAATCTCAATGATTCAATACTTTCCCATCAACACACGCATATCTTCGATTTCCAGCGTGTCGTGGCAGCACCTTTATACAGTACAAAAAAATTCTGTATTCCTTTAATATATTCCTACAACGAACTTCGTGCTCCTGATTTTTACATATAAATCTTGTAAAATTCCTTTGAAAGTGAAAAAAGTCATTTCAAGTATAGAAGTTCCACGTATTTACGTGGAACATTGAAAGCATATTCACGTGAAGCATTTCAAAAAAATCCTTCCAGATTATTTTATCCTAGAAAAAAAAGCTTTACTTGGAATAACAGTAAATGGACCCCCAACAGTTGCAACTACGTTGCATGAATTACTCTTACACACCTAATGTACAAGGATGGCATTTGCTTTTACGGCCCGACGCATAAGTTACTAGGCGAAAGTAGCAAGCATTGCAGTCAAAAGTGATTGGCATGGAAGATGGAGGACGTTAACATGAAGACTTGATACTCGTTTTCCAATATCATGCCATGTAAATTGATGTGCCAATCATTGCGTTGACAGGTTGCGGCATTGCACCTGAATTGGAAGATTTTCCCATTTTCTGACTTATATTGCAATCAGCTCTATCTACAATATACGTGAGGAGTGATAAGAGCTGCAACACCGAAGTTTCAGCGTTTGTCTAGATTCCGCGCACTCAGTAGGAACGAAGAAGAAATATTTTTTTTTACCTGTAGCAAGGATGAACATTGGTAGATCTAATACGGTTGATACATGCATGAACATTTTACTGATCATGGCAGGTTTCTATCCTCGAAGCAACTTTCAGATCGCAAGTGTGTTTTGAAAACCACGATGTTCTGCAATGGTAGTTATTTGGACAAACCAGTCCAAATTACTGATTTGTCTCGATCTCATGCTAGCGGAGTACGTAGTTTATCTACTCATGAGAACTGGGGCCTTTGGCCACAGATCCTTTCACCGCATGTACAGTACCGCGTCTTTATCTGAAGCTGTGAAGTGCATCCACGACTGCGTTCCACATTGAAGACATCAGGTTATCATGTCAATCGATAATTGATGAGACAGAAAGTTCGTATTTGCCAGGAAGCTAATTTTATGACAGATATGGCCTCTACTTAACCATGCAAGGGTATAGCGATTATTCCAGGCTTTACTTACATCATTATGGCGTTAGCTAGTCCTCTTTGATGGTTAGTAAATATAATCCTCCTGATTTATTTGCCTTATTATCTGATTCAAGTACTAAGAGATAAATTTTTCTTAGCAGTGTAAGTCCGTCTGCAAAATTCAATTATCAAGTTGAAGATGTAAAGATAGAAAAGAATGCAGAAGTGTAAAAATCTTAGAAAAGGTCGACGTGGACGATTTCCATGACAATCCAACTAATCTAAAATGTCAAAGTCAGTCCAACCACTCACTGCCACCCACAGAAGCCCGGAGAGAAAAATCATAAGCAAGAATGATTACTCGGAAATATCAACCTGTAAAATAAATTTCACAAAAGTAAACTTCTAGTCGTGCTGGTCTTCAACGGTGTCATATACAAATTGACGATAAATTTGCAGTTCAGATTAAGAACTAAGGCTTTAACTAGAAATCGTTTTGAAGACCGCAGACCTTATCTGGCTGGATTCATCTTTTGTCACTACCTGTATGTTATTGAGCTGAACAATACATGACTTCACTCAGATTCAAGGGATGAGAAGATTATTAGTCAATTATCTTGCCGACTGCAAAACATATTTTTAGGCTGAACTTATACAGTGAATTATGATGCAACGGACTGTCTCCAATTTGGGAAATCGACGTAATCCATCCATCCAGAGCTTTGATGTTAACGTCACCGACCTTTACCCCTGTAATTTTATCAAGCTTGATGATACTCAAGAAGCTTCTCCCAAAATTCCTGTCTATCGACTGCCTAGACAGCAAACAAAGAGCCGCCTCTGACCACTGTGGGTTTTGCCATAGGAGATCTTTTCAGTTCAAGCTTTCTAGGCTCAACTTGCAGGAAGTCACATTCATTTCTCGTCCATTTGTAAAGAGGACTTCTAATGCCAACCCAGAACTGCAGAACTCTTCTTTGAAAATAGAACTTACAATTACCAGGATTGGAAGAGTGCTCTACACCAGTACGAATTTCACTATTATTGAATAGATTTACTCAGTCAAAAGGTGTTATGTTTACGAAGTTTGTGGGAGAGATAATGACCTCGCCTCGAAAAGAAGCACCCGGGGCCTATATAAACCACCTCCTATTCAACAATTAGCACACTCTCACTCTCACCTGAATTGTATCAATTTGCAGCACTTCAGCAGCCTCGTGTTCACTCACAGTGCCTGCCCACCACTTCCATCTCTTCGATCAGAATGAAGACCGCTCACTTCATTGCTATTGTGGCCTCAGTGCTTGCTGCAGCCACCTTTGCCGCAGCTGCATCCTACTCCTCCAGCCTTAAAAATGACTGCGACTTTGATGTCAATGTGAACATCGTGCTCATACCGGGTCTCCAGCTCGGGTCACTTGGTGTCATCACCGTGGTTGCCCACACCGTCCAGTCCGTGCTGTACACCATAACGGGCCTCGTCGCCGGTCTGCTCGGCCTGACCTGGAAGATCTCCGCTGTGATCGATGGAGTGTTGCGTACAGTTAACGTTGTGGTGCCCTTGAATGGTACGGTTCAGATCGTCGAGACAGCGGTGGGCACGGTTGCAGTTCTCGTCAACAATGTGGTCAAGGGATACTTACTTCAGTGTAAGTCTGAAAGCTCTCATCCCGATGTATATCTACACAGTATGTCTGAGATTTCTTGGAACACATTTTGCATTTCTTTCCATCTTGATAAAGCTCCTTGTCTTCGTACTTTAGCTGAGTACTTTTGCTAGCAGACTAGTGATTCTGTGAAATACTAGTGAAATTGATTTGACATTCATGTCTCCAGTGTGAATTGCAGAATCTGTACGCATAAACTGACGGTCAGAAAAAGGTCGGGCGATTTCTGTTGGACAAGAATCATAGAACTTCTAGTGTTTTCATCCACTATTGGATCTTTCCATGGAATAGAACGAATTTCTACGATAGATGCGCACCTCTTTCAACAATTGTACCCCATTCTACATACATAAATCAAGCCCTTCATCAGGGCGATGAATGCTTATTTCGTATATGAGTTACGAGTGAAATTGCGAAGGATGAGCATGCTTTCCTCTCTGCGCTGGTTAGTTCTGTGTTCACCTTCTCTCTAATCTGCTTGTTAACTTCATATCTCACGAACAGTTGCACGTTCAGGTAAATGGGAACATGTTACTGATCCTGCTGATTTTAGACCTCCTTTCAAAATGGTTCCAGCTCCAAAGGCAAAGCAGACCTGAAACAAGTCTGGGATGGCAAGTGACAATGTACGAAAGACATTAAGTATCGGAATTCAGAGTTTATAATCGAATTGACCTGGAACAAACATCTACACTGGTCACTGCTGCAGTAAGCTCTTCAATGTATAATCATGCTTCTACTCATGAAGACACAGTTTTTCTTTTGCAAGGTGTTGGATCCAAAGACATCAACAATATTTAAGTTCTACATATTTTTCTCTTGGACATATGTTATCGATCACTTTAGTATTTTCAGCGATAAAATTTAAGCTTATCACGAATATTGCCATAAATGAAAGAGAGGCTTTGGGCTTTGGATTTGGCTTGTTAAGGATCAGTCGGTTGAACGGAGCAGTATGATCTTGTCACGCAAAGCCATCATTACTGTGAGAAATCTGTATCTACGATAAGGGAAGATGGTCTATGGCAAATTGTGCGCGTGGCGACAAGCTCGATAGGATGTTGCGTTCGTATAATGTGAAAGTAATATGCCGAGTGGTTGATGAGGACAATCAGCTGAAATAAGTGCATTCTTCTTTATCGTGTTCAGGACGATAATTAAAAATTATTTTCAGCTCCCACCTGGACTGCAATTGCATGTCTACGAGCTTGTAACGTTCAGCAACGGATGCGATTTTGGGAAGCCACCTGCAATTGCCCGGAGAAAATTCTATGAAGTGAATGGACCCAATTGCCTCCATTCAAAGAACATGTACATGTAGCTGCAACAAATTGGTTGACTCTTCTCAGCAAAGACCGTCTATCATACACTGACAAGTGTATGATAGAGATCTATTCCACTGACTATCTATTCCACTTACAAGTGCAATTTTATTTTCATAAACTTGAGAAAGAAGAATGCACACGTAAGTTCCTTGAGCTCATGCAACATTCGGAGTATTACATTCACTTTATTTCGCATGCAGCACTCTTCCAAGCTTATCGTGACACGCACATTTGACTACATGCAATCCTCTCGTAGATAAATATTAGTTCTTATGGGGATGAATATGTGCTAGATGATGACATTCATCAGTTCTGCGATGCCCCTTGTTCTTCATACCTGGATCCATCGAGTGATTATGCTACAGACCGCAAATTGTACGAAGGAAGAGAGCTGAGTCGATGTTACCGTGGCATATTGCAAGTCTTGTTTGAGGTATGACATGCAATTCTAGCTCGTCGGAAATTATAGCTTGTAGTCGTCGCTAACATTATTGTATTGCTCACACAACTGGGACCATTTTTTGACCGGGACACAATTTGTGCATATTTGTGAGATAAGCTACTTCGTGGAAGCGACAAAGAGTTATGTACATCTCAGGTCTAATCACATCGTGGTGACCTCGATTCGCTAGGATGGATATACACAGGGGCTCTGTATTCGACCTCTCACTGCAGTCAGTCTATCACCTTGCAGCAGATCAGCAGCTCGTCTCAGTCCACGTACTCTTCCACAACTCCTTCTTATCTCCGATCAACATGAAGACTAGACACCTCAATGCAATCGTTACCTCAGCGCTTGTTGCAGCCCCATTCGTCATAGTTGCAGGTAATTCCTCTACCTTTCACGATGACTCTTGAACTGAGATTTTGACGTGAATGTAGACTGTCTTAGGTTAGGGATGGCTGGTGTTACTACCGCGGTTGCCCGCACCGTCACATCCAAGCTTTACAGAGTGTACGACTTGGTTTCTACTCTGTTCGGCCCTTCGTGGAAATCTGGGGTATTGGGCACTTTTGAGTTGGGCGCAGATAGTCAAAACGGCAGTTGGCAAAGTTGCAGTTATGGTCTACAACAATGTCGTCAACGAATACCTGTGCATTGAGTAATTAAGAGGAAGACCCATTACGTCTTACCTGAATAAACCACATATGTAACATGGAGCTAGCAACCACATGATTCAACTCGAATGTAACTCATCGTAAGAGCTTTCAACTACTCTGACTGTTTCCCATGCACGGGGTAAAAGCGTTCTTGAGCATCCTGTACGCGAGCTCACACGACAATTCCAAGTCTTGTTGCTCTAGGCTTGCATGACCATGTGAATTGTGTGCGTGCTTTTCGCTGTACAATGCATCCTTGCTCGTTTGAATCTTTCACAAATCAGATCAGAGAATAAAGAATCTTCCTTAGGATCGAAAATACGCAAAGTCAAGATATGTGAGCATGCATGTGGTCATGGGATCTCCAAGATGATTCGTGTATGGAATGTTTGAGTAGTGACGTCCGACACCACTCACGCCCAGACGAATTGTATAGAAAGTATAATTATCTGTCAATAATTTGGTATCAGAATTCACAATTCCCAATGCTGCCGTACTTTCACATCAACATATCCATATCTCTAATTCCCAGGGAATGGTGGCAGCACAGTATCATCAATTCACAAATTAAGAGTTTTATTTTGTAAATTTCACGCAATATATAGGAATATAATGATCTGAACAGACACAAGTGGCCTACGGTGATCGTACATATTCAATATTTGGATCTAGGTTGAAGGATGTACATGCCATTGCGGGGAATGCAAGGAGACTTATAAGACTTGGGTCTACAAAATAACCTGATTTCATCTTCCATTAGGGACTTCATCAGGAATCTCTTGATCATTAGGGACTTCATCAAGAGATTCCTGATGAAGTCCCAAAATCCAAGAATCTTTGCGAATATCCAAAAGATTGACAAAAGAAACACATTTCGACCGGAGTAACGCATAATTTTTGTAGACAACGTTATTTATGATTTTACTAGACAAACATTAAAAATTGATTTCAGTACAGTAGAGCACATGCATGATCCACATCATTCTCATTAGCATTCGCAGAAGAGAATTTTACGTGATTGGTGTGCTGCTGTTAAAGGGACAACATGTGTGACACTCTATCAGTGATAGACTATCACCCGTTACCGAGCGCAAGCACGTAGCAAAGAGTCAGCGGGCAATGATGGCGCTTATGGTTAAAAAATGAATTGCAGTTAGGATGACCTCACAGAAGATAGAGATCAGTTTTAACGAACTCATTGCTTGTCTTTCTCTTGCCTGCTGTGTGAATTACAGTGCCAGTCACATCTTTCATACCAACACCTGAAACTCATCTGATCCTTGTCGTTGATCCTCCTTTCACTGGAAAAGGACAGAGTAATAAGCTTTCTCCTTTTACAGTGACAGAGGTCATTTCAAATGTCAAATCGATGTTAGCTGCTCTCATCACCGCGTATCCTTCAGTATTACCCCATGAGAAGGTCGTTGACATTAGCTCAATTGCGTCCCTGATAAGGACGAAAACAGCTTGACCACGTGTCTTGCTTCCAGACGTCCTGACGTTTGCTCCTACTCGGGAGCACACTTACACAGCAGTGGGCCTTTACAGGAGGGGTTTTTGTTTCTATTTAATGAAAGCACTACAGCAGTTAGTGTGCAATCGAGAGCTGTCGCTGTTTGGTTCCAAAATTAGCACGGCAACCGCACATCAGTTTGTCTTCGTCGACGAGTGTCTGTGCACTATGTTACGTCGCTCCATCGTGAAACATGGGTTCAGCTTTTAACACCGTTGCGTTCTAAGATTGGTGTTTAAATTTGGGTCTGACAAAAGTCTCCTTGTTTTGGTGGCTACTGGATGTAATGATTGATCTTCATCTCACTATAGAAAAAGCAGCCGCGTAGAAGACATGTGACCTCGAAGTCTAAGCGTAGATCTAGAGTCTGCAAACTCACTTGGAACGAAGAAGAATCTGATTTTATCTTCAAGAAGGGTGAACACAGTCGATCTAATGCTGCTGATACATGCATGAGCACTTTACTGATCCTGGTATCCAGTGAAATTTAAGAAGTGAACACAATTATACACACGGTCGTTGTTATCGCATTGACTTCACACATATGGATGACATTTACTTTTCAATATCGCTAGAATGTTGCCTCGTTCGAACAGCCGGACAAAATAATCGTGTATGGTTTTCCTCACATGTCGACGCAGAAATGTGCAAACTTATCGAAAGGTTTAATGCTCTGCAGGTGCTGATGTATAAAGTGAAAAAGGTCGAACGCACAGAGATCGTCGGACAAGCATCGATAGGATTGTGTGTAATGAGCACAGTCAAATTGGTTCTCCACCGGAAACAGCAAGTGGCCTCTCCATTCCATCCAAAACACGAAGGTTTTGATATGAATTCCCTTTGCTCATGCATCACTTTATTCGCACGTGGAATTGTACTTGTCGACCCAGGCATAACTACACTGCTACTTTCTTATCATGGAGGAAACTTGTAGATAGAGACAATGTTATTCTGCGGAATGATCAAGTCCATATATTTATGTCACTGATGAAGTGCACTGCACATATTAGCGTTGACTAAGGTTTCACACTCACATTGCTTCGTGCTCCTGTTCTGCAGCCCGTCTGAGATCACACCTAACTTGCTAACCACGACTCACCGCAAATCTCGTTGTTTGGACAGGTTTGTCGGGATAAGATGAACGCAAAGTCGATAGCTCATCTGCTCGTGAGAACTGGAGCCTTAAGACAGAGCCTATCAGCGCAAGTGCAGTACCACGTCTTCACCTGAAGCTGAAAAGCTGCGAACGAGCATCCATGACTGCGATCTTCAAGAAGTCAACAGGTGGTAAATTCATTGAGACAAATGGTTGTACACATGTCGACTCCCGGAAACGAGGCGAATGACAAAACGCTTACTGTACTCCAGGCTTTACTTGATCACGTCAGTAGAAAATGTTA